TATGAGGCTTCCCCTCAGGAGTTCAAGCAGCTTCTGGACGTGAATGTCTCAGTCGTTATCGTTGAGATCAACTCGGTAAAGCAAAATTTAAAAAAATCCCACAAGAAATTTATTTTTATATACGCATATGATATCATCATTAATTTAGAGTTTTTATTGACTTTTTTTTCTGGTACCTTCGACCAGTGTTACACTGGCAGTGTACCAACCCAGTACCTAAATTATAGTGTGTCCAAATTTAGTGCCCAAATTACCACTTCTAATTTTTGTTAGAACAGTTTACAGATCTTAACAGGGAATTTTGTGTATTTGTCCTCGTTGGTTATCCTTGAGGACATATGAGATACACCAATGTGTCAAGTTTGTGCGTATAAATAGAAGTAGTGAAATTAAAATTCTATGAATTATTTTTGCAGGAAACTATGATGGTGCCACACTACAATTCCAAAGCAACATATTTGATGATGGTGGTAAGTGGAACGGGATGGTTTGAAATGGCATCCCCACAGTTCACACTCCCAGAGAGTGAAGAAGAGATTGAGTACCAAGAAGACCAGGGTGAACAGAGTGGAATGTACACCAAGTTGAGTGGAAAACTATCACTCGGTGATGTCTTTGTGGTTCCAGCAGGTCGTCCTGTTGTTTTTGTTTCCCGAAACAATGATGAGGGCAACAACCAAAATCAGAATCTGAGAATTGTGGGATTCGGAATCAATGCCCCAAACAACATTAGGAACTTCCTTGCAGGTAAACGAGTCGATTCAGACACAACATTACTTGGGTGTGTGTATAATGTTTTTGAAAAGTAGCCAAAGATTTTCAATCTTAAACACTTTGGGCCCATTTTTTCAACTGTTAGAATTTTAACCGAGAGATGGATGCTTCGAGTGATTATATATCTAAATCTTGGAAAAAAGTGGCTACAAGTCTTTAGGCCTCGTTTGGCTGGTAGTATCGGATTAGATTGGATAGTTTACTAGATTCAATGGATGTTGAACGATAAATGGACGTCAACTTTCAATCTTGTCCAAGGTTCCGTCCTATCTAATTCATTTTCTACCTTCTAATTCATTTTCTACCTTCATCTTGAACAAGGTTCCAAAAGTTGACAGCTGCGTTTTGAATCAACATATATTGAATTTAGTGGTTTATTTGGTCCAATCCAATATGCCACCAAATTAAACAAGGCCTTATATAATGTGCTAAAGAAGGGGTTAACTTTTCTAAAAGTCCCTTGTACGTACTCTGCTTGTACGTTAAACATGCAGGCCAAGAGGACAACATAATGAAGATGATGGAAAGTGAGGCTAAGCAGCTGACATTTGCGAAAGAAATGGAACAGTATTGAGCAATCAGAAGCAATCTTATTTCGTGCCACTGTCAACCCAGAAGAGCGAAGAAGGAAGAAACCACTCCTCACCTGACTGGCTTCAATTCAAGACTAAGCAATGATAGTAATTAAAGTATCCACTTTAACGCAATCCAGATGTATGTAGAGCACCAGTACTAGTATGATGAGCTAGGGTTTTCAATTAGCTAGGCTCATGTAGTGGAGTGTGAGCCTCTTATTTAAAAAAAAATGCTAAATAAATAAATGTGACTAGCTCATAAACTACCATAAAAATAAGAGTGACGGCTCATGTTCTGTAGTGTTGGTTTTCATCAAAGGAAGAGGATCCTCTTCCGATCCACTTTTTGGGGATCCTAGAGATTCTCACATCTTAACCGTTTATCGTACATCGTCGGATTCACTTTTTGGGGATCCTAGAGATTCCCACATCTTAGCCGTGTTACATATTCTTGGTCTCTTAGTTTTATGCGATATCTGGAATAATTATTTTTTATAGTTTCAGATTTTTGTTTGCAAGTATCTTTCTATGGTCATGTTCTTCATTTGTATTAAACCTTGTGTTCTTCATTTGTATTAAACCTTGTATTAGCCTCTTTTACGAATGAAATATAACGTGGGAAATTTTATTTATACCCAATAATCCTCTTTTCACACTCAACTTGCAAATTTTGTCCTGCAAACTTACCTTTTTACCCTCAAATACAAAATTGACAAACTTATAAAAAAAAAATTTAAAAAAACAAAAAGGACACAAACACATAAACCCACTCAACCACCTACTATGGGAGTAATCGGACTTGATTCCACTCGTCATTCTAAAATTGTCATTGCCGACCTACTCTTTATCTCGTCAATGTTCAATTCTTCATGCTCAACTCTATGGGGCTAGATTTTGGTCCAATTTTCCTTAAAACTTAATGAACCAATTGAAAAAAAAAAAAAACTAGCAAATTGTAGCTCAAAAGACCGGTGTGATCTTGCAAATCGTGGAATAAGGATGCAGTCCCAAATGTGGACAAGTTAAAAAGCTATATATGCTTTCAAGGATGACAAATCTGGTAGTCATTTGAAATTGAGTGAAGAGGGAATTGATGAGAGACCAAAATTTGAGAGAGAGAGAGAGAGTAATCGATATCAACATCAGAACCCCTATATTTCTTTGACGAACCCAACCCAGCTCTGGCAACATGTTCTCCTGATGTCGTCGAAGGCAACAACCCTCCTCCACTATCATTTTACCGTTCTTCTCCACCCTCCGTTAATCCCTCTTTTCGATTTCCGGCAACCCACCCAACTGCCAATTGGGGCTCTCAGGGCCACTTCAACCCACCCATTTGCTAGTTGATAATATCTTTCTACACCCATCTTTTCTTTAGGGCATAATTGAAATATAAAATTTATAAAAAATTTAATGAGTGTAGAGATAAGTTAACAGGGTCCAAATAAGATTTCCCATATAACGTGGGATGTTGGATTGGAGAGCCATCAGGGGTCCTCCTTGTAGAATTGGTTTATAGCTACTCCGAGGTTTAAGGGCAGTTTGGGAAATAGAGGGTGAAAAAAATTAAATTTGAAAAGGCTTTTTCACAAAATTGGTCCATGAAATTTGTATAAATCCTCACTTTGGTTTCTTAAATTTGAAATCAATAAAAGTGGTCATGAGTTTGTCCACCACCAACAATCTTATTCCGTGAAAATTTCTATTAAATAAGAATCAAATGACAAAAATACTCTCAATTTAATAAATAATGGGCTAAACTGATTTGTGAAAAATTAAGAGTATTTTTGTCATTTTGACTTTTATTTAATGAAGATTTTTCATGGAATGACAAAAATGATTGATGGTGGACAAACTTAAGGATCACTTCTATCAATTTCAAACCTTAGAACTAAAGTAAGGAGTTATTCTAATCTTATGGACCATTTTGGCTAAAAAACCATTTGAAAATAGAGTGTTGGTAGCATGCTAGATAAATTCTAGTTGATGAGCGAATCAGACAATATATATCTTCATCGATTAGTGTTTAAAATTGCCTACTTTACATTAATATAGGGCAGATCTTATCATTGGTGTTTTACTTATACAAACACACCAAAGTAGCACCAATGTAATTGAAAAGCACCGCCTTTGTTCTTCTTCCAATCCTCTTTCTAGTTGCTGTACTGTCGCCAAGCATTTAGAAACGGCCAAGTTCTGTGCTGTCTTTTACTTGCTTGTGGCCCTTTTTCTATTCACCTCAGCTAATTGTGTACTTTTTTGTTATACGTTTATAGGTAATAAACATGATTATAGATGAATGAGACAACATAATTTGTATTATCAATGGATCATCATTAACCATATAGATCATAATTAGTCGACCTTATAAAATGTTCTGCTATCATATATATATAGTTCTCTCATGTTACACTATCAGTAAGAACTATTGATCCAGTAAAATCACATGATTTGTATTCAGTGGCGGATCCACAGTGGGGTCAATGGGGTCGCACGACCCCTTGGAAGCCATGGAAACAACCTTAGAGACCCATTGGAGCTGCTGGTGCTACCCCTTGGAGCTGCTGGTGAGACCCCTTGGCTGCACACCAAGTGTTCGACGAAATGTCTGAAAGAACTAAGGATGCTGTCAGCCAAGACCTAACACAAATGAAGGGAAGCCAGCCAGCATGCATAACGAGACCGATATTTTGGGGGGGGGGTGGCTGTGGTCACACCAAAAGATGCAGAAAAATCTCAAAATTCAGTCAGATTGTGACGAAGATTATCCACAAAGAGGCAGAGTGGAGACATACGTTGCTGTTTTGTGTTTATGTTTTGTTTTGGGTTCGGCAATGCCGAGGAGGTCGATGACACGGAGCCAAACATTTGCATCGAATTCAAACAAAAGTTTTGGTTCTTATATTTATTTTCTGAGAGGTTATACAACTTAGGACTTGCAGTGCACTATGTTTGTATGTGACCCCACCACGTGTTTTAATACGAATGGTCGCGCTATCCTACCAAGACTCGATGAAATGACGATATGCATGCCGTTTCTGTTAAAAAAAAATTGCGCGCTACGCGCGCTATCCTTATTGACCCCTCAAACATTATTTCCTGGATCCGCCACTGTTTGTATTCATAGGTTTACATGTTTCATATCTAATCTATGTGTAGGTGCTCTCCCTATCTATTTCTTCTAATGAATAAGATACAATACAACAGCGACTGTGTATGCATAAACCATATATATATATATATATATATATATATATATATATATAGAGAGAGAGAGAGAGAGAGAGGGTGATTGTGTGGTGTTTTGCTTGAAAGAGGTGAAAGAGATACGAAGCAACAGAGACAAAGAGTTTTGGTTTTGTGGAATAGTGGGGAAACTAAGAGAATTATGAGAGAGAGAGAGAGAGAGAGAGAGAGAGAGAGAGAGAGAGTCAGAGTCGGAGGGTTTGATTTTTTGAGCCATTTAGCTCTTAACTTTCATTAGAGATGACGTGAGATGAACGTGGGATGATAATCAACACTCCTAACCTTGCTAGCCCACATACCGGGCCATATAAGCGTAATTGGACACATAGATTAAAACTTAGGCCCGGCCCAACAACGGCCTCTGAATGAGTGAACTTGTTCCTCAAGTTGCCTCCTCTGCTATTACCTCCAAATTTCTTAACCCAAAAGCAGAACACAGTGTTCCCCAGCTCCAAAGAAATCAGAAAACCCAGAGAGAGAGAGAGATCGAAACTCGACAAGCCAGCAGATCAACAAGCAATGGAGTCCATCTTCGGTTTGGTAGGCGATGGCTTTGCCGTCGTGGCAGCGGACACTTCAGCCGTGCACAGCATACTGGTCCACAAGTCCAACGAAGACAAGATCATGGTGCTCGACTCCCACAAGCTCGTCGCTGCTAGCGGCGAGCCCGGCGACAGGTTCAAAATATTTTTTTTTTTAATTTTCGCTTCTGGGTTTCGGTTTGATTGTCGATTATCGTGTTCTGGAATCTGATTGAGATTTTTTTTTGAATATTTTGGGGAAATTAGGGTTCAGTTCACGGAATACATACAGAAGAACGTGGCATTGTACCAGTTCCGGAATGGGATTCCGTTGACCACCGCTGCTGCTGCCAATTTCACCCGCGGCGAGCTCGCCACTGCCTTGCGAAAGGTATGGGCTTTTTCTGGGATACGTTAAATAAATTTTGGGGTATATGGTTTGGTTGATTGGATTTTTTACCAGTATTAGGGATCTGGTGTTTAGGTTAGTAATCTTATATTTTTTTTAGGGGTTTTCCCCTCCTGCAAGTTTAGGGTTTTTGTTGAGTAATGGTAATTGGGGTTTAGTTAGAATGAAACAAAGTGGAAATTAACTACATGATGCGGGTTCAAGCTGAAAAAAGATTAAATATGTGAATAGGTAAATGTTTTATTTTGTGCACATTGTTTTGGTTTGAACATATGCAGTTATAACTTGAGTAAATCTCGCAATGGTATGCTTTAATTGACCGAGTTAAAGTCACATAAGAGGTAATTTACTGAGTTAAAGTTATATTGCCAAGTTAAGTGATCAGAGACTGAAGTGTATCAAATAATCTGGTAGTGATGCATGTAGGTTCTGTAGATGCTAGTTATATGATTATACAATCTGGGTTGACAGGAGTTATGAATCTAATTAGGCATACTAAAAAAATCTAATTTTGATCTAAATTTTGTTCTAGATGTGTATTACTTGTGTATAATGTTTCTCCAAAAATCCAAACTTCCAGGTTGTATCTGAGAATATAAATTTGAAAGTTAGTTATATATTCAAGCATTTTCATTGAAATGAGACCGCTTGGGAAGTTTCCTAGACACTTACTTGAGCTTTGAAGTGTTCGTCTGAAAGTTTGCAATCTAGCTTGTCTAACTCTTTTTATTTCATTTTTCATTTTTATTGAAGTCTTTGTCTTATTAGAATATGTTTATGACACCATTGTATAACATAATTTCTAACATAGCATGTGTTTTAACATTGGATGCAAAATTTTCAGTCACAGTTGTGCCTTTTGAGGCATTTATGGGCTTCTTTCTTGTGCGATCAGATTAGATACCTCCAGATATTGTTCAATCTTCAAACCAAAAACCATTCACTCAAATATTCTGATAGCCTATGTTTACTCCTCAGATTTTGTTGATAGCCTTTGGCTTAATTGCCACAACACAAAAAAAATTATGGAGTAGTTGCTGCCCCAAATTCCAGAATCAATACTAAAATTCTAGTGACTTCTTGCCTTCAAGTCCAACCCTAGTAGTCTGCAGAATATCGTACCAATCCTTCTTCCCATATGTTTTATACATTAAACCTCCTTTTGAATTACTGCTTACGTATGAGTTCAAACAATATTGCATCTACATTCTAGAACATTATCTCATGGATGTTCGTACCTTTTCATCAATCGCTTGGAATGTTAAGGGCAAATCTGGAAGTCACAAGTAATTTATGTGTGCTTCTTATTTTTTTAGGCTGTTCCTAGGCGAAAGTATTATTCAGGAAAAAGTGAATATGCTTACATAATATTCCTAAAGTTATGTAGTCAACTTGTGTTCCTCAAGCAGGCTTTACTGGTGTTATAGGCACTACCAGTTCACTTCTTATGGGTATGGTTGAAAGTGACATGGCTCTAACCTCATAAATAAGGGGGGTTGTGCTTAAAATCTCAAGGGGGATTACATCGTGCTATGATTTTCCTTATTGAGTTGCAAGCTTTTGCTTTATTGATTTTTTGACTTGTAACAATTCATAGTTATCCATTTTCTTTGTCTGGTTCAAAGTCCACTTTGAATTTTCATGTACAATTAATTTATTTTGTTGTTCATCAAGAAGAAAACGGCTAAGTTTATCCTTAGAGGGATGTTTTTAACTTTACCTTCAGAGAGAATTCAGTTGTTATGAATGAGTGATAGATGCTGGGATGAGATTGTATTAGTAGATAGAGTTACATAGTTGATAGCTGATATTTTCTTTCTTTTCTGGTTTTTAAAAATTTGATTTTGCAGAATCCATACATGGTGAACATCTTGATGGCTGGTTTTGACAAGGAGGCTGGGGCATCCCTTTACTACATCGATTACATTGCCTCTCTTCACAAGGTTGAGAAAGGAGCCTTTGGATATGGGTCGTACTTCGCACTCTCACTGATGGACAGGCACTACCACAGTGGCATGTCTGTGGAGGAAGCAATTGACTTGGTCGACAAGTGCATCATTGAGATCCGGTCAAGGCTGGTGGTGGCTCCCCCAAACTTTGTGATCAAGATTGTTGACAAGGATGGGGCAAGGGAATATGCGTGGCGAGAGTCCATCAGGGATGCCGGTGTTGCTGCAGCATGATCGATCATTTAAAAGCATCACCAGACTTGTGTTTATTTTACTTTTAAACTTTTGTTGGCTAAATTTTCCTTTGCTCTAGTAAGTGAAATCTGATGCCCCTCCAGAACCTATCGAAATGCTCACAATAGCTCTCTTCTTCCTTGAACTTGTGATGTGAATGCTGCTGGAATAATTGTATTTTGGAAGGAGAAATGGTCTTTTAAAAGTGAGAGTTTCATTTGTAATGACTAGTTATTTGTTTTCATTTATTTACTTTTCCTTTTGACAAAATGACCGGTTCCGGGCCATCTGGCTACAAATTATTTACTACTCAGTGAAAACAAACTCTTTGCAAAGCAAGGATAAGACTATGTACGATGGACATTCTCCCGACCCTTGGAAAGCAGAGAGTTTTGTTGGCTTTGGGTCGTCCCTTACTATGAATCCCTAGAGGCTAGCTAGAACTATTCGAGCAGGATTTGCGACGCCAATTTCAAGTAGAACTACAATTTATTCGTTGTTTATGCGGCAAAGACAAAAGTTGATTTTATAAGTTGTGCGGATGAAACTTAAATGAGAGTGGGTGAATTTCGGTACACCTCATCCCTCAACTAACACAGGTTGTCATCTCAAAATTTATATGTGAACGTACAATTTTTCATGAAAGCCAATGTGACAGGGTAACTGCACAAGTTTCCTGATCAAGTCAGTACACGAAATGCCTCAAGGGCGGTGAAGTTTTCATGTAAAATCTCAATGAATGTAGGAAGCATCAGATGAATATCTGAACAAGGAAGCTCACAATGGCAGGTAGAATCCAAGAGTTGCTCAAGTACACTCGCTTCAATTCAGCTGAAATCCTTGCTGGTTCTACCGCTGAGCTTGGCGGAGTTGGCGATCTGTTTCCCCGCGGGATGCTTGAATTGTATGCTGGTTCTGGTGCTAAGCTCATGAGAGGAGATGAAGCATTGTCCACAGAATCAAAACCTGCAAAATAATAGTAAAAATGGGATTTTTAGGGTTCTTGCTAAATCAAAGGTTTCTGCATTGCATCTTTGACCCCAAAAAAAAAAATCCAAGAAAATCATGGGGTGAGCGGGACTAAAACTACCTGAAGGAGGAGGACTTGAAATCTCTGAAATTGTTGAGCTGCGGAGAGGAGGGAGTTCTGGTGATCCTGTTGCAGTTACGCAACAAAATTGGAATTTGAGAACCAAAATTTCTTTAAAATTCACATTCATGGCGTCAAGAATTAAAAAAAAAGTTTGGTAATTTCTGAATCGATATATAGAACCCTAAATTGGGCAGAAGAAAATGTTCAAGAAAATTCAAGAACCTGAGCAGAGAGACTCCAAAGATTGTGCACTTGCGTTTGTGGAAATGTCTCTGAGAGGGCAAGTGGAAGACAGAGACAGAACGCGACTCCCGTTCACCGGAAACCCCAGCATCGGAGGATCCTGGACCAGGTAGCAGAGGCAGAGCGCGCCGCCGGACTCCATCGACAGCGAGAACGCGTCGCAGCACTTGGGTGGGGGTGAGTCGGAGATGTTGTTTGGCGGAGACGACACGTAAGGCAGGCACGGCGAGAATCTCACGAGCTCGTCGGCGCAACTAGGTGGTGGAGACGGCGGCGGTTCTGCTGATCCCAAGCGGAGAATGACGAGCGTCAAGGCTAGGAGGATGGCCATGAGAGGAGGAGGAGCAGTAGTGGTGGTCATCATGCTTGAGAGTTTGAGAGAGAAATGGCGGGAAACAGAGGAATTCTGATAATTCCAGAAGTGCCCTTTGCTGGTTTGTGTGAATTGGGATTGAGTGAGTAGGCGGTTAATAACGAAGAGAGCGTGATCTATAACTGCCCAAGCTTAGCCTTTTGGCGGCAGTTAGAATTTTTCTTTTAACAAACTGTGTAGCTAAACTACTCCATTATTCGAAAAATTACAATATTCACCAATTTCTTGTAGCCAAGGAAATGGAGAATTCATTAAAGCTTAATACAATGCTTTACAAGCTTGAGATGAGTTTGTTACTCCCCAGCTTTTTTATAAATGCTTACAAATTCTCATATTTGCAGATAACCACATGGTTACAGATCCGAACTTCGAATCCATCTGCTTAAAGTTCAACAGAAAGAAACCGAAATATTTTTTCATTACGGAGTCATTTCATCAAACACTTCACTCCATCTCCCCACACAACTTCAAGAATGTTGGAATCAATTGCATCTCCGTGCAAAATTGAGTGGAGTTGCAATTTTGACCCCAACATTCTTACATTAAGGGCGGAGTGAGTACTGAGTGATCGATGCAACGTCTCACACGAAAACAGAAAAAATTATGTCATCCGTTGATGAGTCCCGAAGTAATTTACTTGAACTGAATTTTTGAAGGGATCCCAAACAAAACGAAACAAATATTTATTTCACTAATATAACAAATAATCACCAATACATGGCTTACAATGATCTGAAGTAGCAAAAAACAAGAATCACACTCACACTCGTACAACAATGTACGAAAGAATATGTATAGAGATGAACATAACATAATCATCCTAGAAAAACTTGAAAGCTAGAACGCCGGATGCCAATAGCAGAAGAGAAGGCGAGTAAGAGGGCGTGGCAGCCGATGGAGTCAGAACCGGGCGGCTCCCAGTAGTTGCAGTTGGAGCTGCAGAGCCCCCTGTTGTAGATGGTGGAGTCAAACCTTGTGTGTTGTCGGATTCCGGTGACTCAGCTGATGAGGTGGGTTCTGGGACAGAGGAAGCTGCTCAACAGAAAGCATGTTGCGAGGCATATCAATATTAAGAACCGTCACCAATTTGAGCGCTTTAACATTACAAAGCTTCTTCGAAAATGTACTCGTTTAAGAAATTACCTGTTGGTGCAGATGGTGAAGCTCCAGGAGAAAGAGTTGGCTACAGGGAGCCTGCCAAATTCAATTAGACAGCATTAGTTCACCTACTAACAACCATACAATATACAAAAATATTCACTCGTCAGACAGTCCAACATTGTTATGATATTAGATTGTCAATCTCAAACAATATCGTAACATGTCCGACTGACTGACAAGGCAATATATTAACCTAAAATTACAAACCGTCAGACTAAATGGTACCTGGAGCAGGACTAGGTGCACCAGCGGCTGCACAATCATCGTATGTTCATGTTAGCATTCATATAGAAAATTACACATAATTAATCATGTTGATAATACTGAAAAAGCATGTCAAAATTACAAGAGTTTTAAATTAACCTCGGCATTGGAGAGGGACACCGGGGATGTTGCAGGCACGAGGAAGAGAGAGGGCTAGAGTCCGGTTGATTGGCAACTGGAAGGGAACGCTTCCAGTCACAAGGAGGCACACACAGTCCCTGCTAGTACTTGTGACGGATTTTAGCGAATTGCAGCAGGCTGCGGTTGGTGATGTACCATTGGCGCTGCTATTAGTGAGATAACTCATACAAGGGGACAAGCTAGAAATCATGTTGGCGGTGCAAGGGGAACTGACTTGGGCGGAGACTGGGAGAGCCAGGACCAGAGCCACTGCCATTGCCATAACTAGACCGGGGAACCGCAAGAAAATCTCCATTTTATCTGATATTTTGTGTCGAAATTGGAGGGAAATTTATGGTTCCGTAGGAGCTGGAAATGTGTACAACTTTATGGTGAATTGTGAATCGTGAGTTGTGTTTGTAAGTGAGAAGGGTGAGAGAATTTATAAGGGATTGAGGAGAAGTGGAGGGAAGAAGGAAACGTGAATATTTGGAGTTGGTTTTTGGAGATCAACTACCTTAACGAACTATATGGGAAAAATGGGGTTTTTTAGTAGGTGGGATTAGTATTATGTGGCATATTTATGAAGCATATTTTGACTTGCATTTGGGCAGAGACTTGGTGACTAAGAAACGTCCAAGCCCGGGTTTTATTATGTGGCTTCATATGGTTGGTTCATAGCTCAAACTGTAAGAAATAGAATCATACTAATAGGAACATAAAGAAAGAAAGTGTGAACAAAATTAAGTAACAAGAAGTGAAAAGAGGTGTGCATTGGATCCATCCAAAACAATCATTCCAAACCTTCCACTTTAAGAGAGATTCTCTCATGTAATAGACGGTTATCAATATGTGTTTATTTCACGTATTATATGGCCTGATCATGTGATTTGGAAGATAGAACATAATAAGGTATTAAATTAATGGTAATTATTTTGCTCCAATTTCAATCATGTAGTGTGTGAGAGATTGACACGTAATGATAAACAAGTTACATAAAAAAATTTGCCTCAATTTCAGTCATTGTTATTATCTGGCTTCTCATTAATACAAGGACTCCCGAAAATTGAGAGCCAAAACTAAGCCAATTATGCTACTTGTACACAATTAGGAATTAGCAAAAGAATTACCTATGAACATGTTGCTATTTCGTTTAGCAGATTTTTAAATTTTCATGAAAAAAGAAGAATCATTTAATTATAAAAAAGGATATGCAAAAGAAATCATTTTTCACGCCCGATTCCAATATAAGTCGAAGATTGATACATGACGGAATGACAGTAATCGCAACGATACAACAAATAATTGTCGTATTTCGAAATTTTAATCTCGAGACGTGACTAAATTTATGAACTAGATTGTGTAGTACTAATAAATTCCTTTTATTGCATCGCTACAACTAACCTTTAGTGTAATATCCTGAAAATTTAAATATATGAATTATATATTCATAATTATGAATATGTGGAGAAAAAACAAATCGAAAATAGATCGATGTGTAGTTATGAAAAATTGAATTGAGAACTTTTAAAGTTTTGTTTCAGGAAATTATTATAAATTATCGTTAAGTGAAAAAGACGAAAATGCCCCTAGTTGGCTTAACGTAATTATACGATGACGTGTTTTATTCTCATATATTTTATCGTATTTCTTGACATTTTTTTATAAAGCTCAATTCCAAGAGAATGTAGGCGAAAATCGTTCGCCAAACAGAGTATTAACGAATGAAATAGAAACGAACGAAAGTAGGGACAAAATAGTCATTTTGCCATGAATCTGGAAGGCTCCAGATTCTGTTTTAGTGGAAATTTGCCACGGGAGAAGGTGGAAAATGTGGGGAAGGAGAAGGGGGAGCAGGAGGAAAAAAAAAAGATAAGAAAGAAGGGTTGGGATGACCAAGGAGAAGGGGGAGCAAGAGGGAGAGGAGAGAGAGAGAGGTAGATAACTGGGTCTCTTGACCCGTTTCCCCTTTTCGCGACCCAACTGACGGAAACCATGGTTTCCGTTGCATTTTCCAGACGAATCCAGATGGTTTACCCCGAATTAACACTTGAAAATAGGTCCCTGACCTTCCCTCTCTCATTTACAACAAAAAATTTGTGGAAATTGGCTTTGGATTTGGGTAAACTACCCCAAAGGGTGTCGTTGGGAGTGTGGTGGAAATCGGCAAAATCTGCAGGTGCCACCATCGAGTACCACCATCATTCAACTCGTTTTGGTCCCAGGAACAAACCCCGAACATATTTTGGGGCGATGGAACACCGGAATGATCGAATCGAAGAGAACCCATTTCTTGGGTTTCAACGGATAGAGTTGTTTTCCGGATACTTCCAGGCCAACCTAGGCTTCGGCCTAGGTATAAAAGTTCTTCCCCTTGTTGTGTTCTATAACCTTGTAAAATTTGGTAATTTTTAGAGTTCATCGGAATTTGAGATTTCCGTTCGCCGAAAACCGCCACCCGTGGTGGCGCATGTCCAGTGAACCGACACTGCATTTTTAGGCAAATTTCGTTATTCCAATTGTATTTTTGGTATTTTTTGACGTGTTTCGATTATTAACACAGATGTTGAATATTTCGATTATTTGAATATTTTCGGAATTGTTGAAATGTGGACTACGAAATACTTGATCCCACACAAGGTTACGTAGGTAGTCTAACATGGTTAGATTCAACCTTAAATAATCGAGAATTAATCTTTTGTTTTAAAAGAAGAAATTGGGTGATAACATGGAAAATTAAAACTTATAATTTTAGTAATTAGAGGATGGTTATTGATTTTGTGAGTGATTAACAAATTTAAATAAAGAATTGTGATTAATGGTAGTTAAATAAACGAGAGTTTAGAGTGGGCCTATTACCGATATTATTTTTCAAAATAAATTTTCGGGAGCGGGGCGTTACATTTAGGTTCGACTGCCTACATATCTTACGACGGGATCAAGCCATTCGTAGTGCACCCTTTTGTTAAGCCCCAAAACATCTTATATTTAAAATGACTTCCAAAATTTATCATGGCCTTATCTAGCAAGAAAACTTAGAGTTCCAGAATCACTCAATGGAACTCAATGTATAAATCAATAGATTTTAGACTACTCAACATAACGGAAGTAGGATCTTGTACCAACTCAACGAAATCCATAGGAATATAGGGTTTCAGACCAATTCAATGGAACCGAATCGGAAGTGGGATTCTGGACCAACTCAAAGGAATCCAGAGGAATATAGGGTTCCGGACCAACTCAATGGAACGAGATCGAAAGTGGGATTCCGAACCAACTCAATGGAATCCAAAGGAATATAGGGTTCTAGACTAACAAAATCAAATCGGAAGTGAGATTCCGGATCAACTCAATGGAATTGAATTGGAAGTGGGTTTCTAAAGCAACTTAACGGAATCTAAAGGAATATAGGTTTCCTAACCAACTCAACGGAATTGAATGGGAAATGTTATTCCAGACCAACTGAATGGAATCCAAATGAATATAGGGTTGCAGACCAACTCAACGGAACTACCCCAAGAATGCGTATGGTTTCTCAATGTGGATTAATCAAGAAGAACCATATGCATAAAACTAATTGTGTGGCCCCCCAATACGGATTAACAAAGCAGGACCATATCCAATAACACTAGGCAGTGACCCCCCAATGCGGATTTACCAAGCAAAGTCACGTCTAGTATGCGCATGGTCCCCAATGCAAATTAACTAGGCAAAACCATGAGTGTCAACTAATAGTATGGTCTCCCAATGATGATTAACTCGGCAAGATCATCTATGTACCACACTACTACATGGTATAGTCTCATTTTCACACATCATGCATCATATGTCATTCATCAACCCAACATAATTTCCATAGTGAACACATACCACTAATGGTTTCACGTATCAACCAAGTATGATCTAGTCATAAGAAGTATAGTACACGGAATACTCATATGTACTAGTTCTACTAAAATTATAATAGATATATTGACTCATCATCATATTCTAGCAATCACACACTATCAACTCTCTCCTAGAAGCCTAATAAGCATGTAAATCTTAGTAAGGTGCCACTTGCACCCAAATCAAGGTGCATCCCCAGGATGACACACTGATCAAGGTACGCCCATTAGGCTCTGTCGAGTCTTTAATAATACTAAATTCAACATTCAAGAATGTTTCGGAACATGTTAATTAAAAGTCAACCCTCAGTCAACGGGGTCAACAATAAGGTTAACAACCCTACGTAATCAATTTTGAAGGATTGGCACATCAGATTTTCGATCTGTAAATTCCTAAAAGCATCAAATAATATACACAACAACACACTAAAATTTTCTAACGATCTAACGGTCGAATCTTTGCCTACAACAAAGGTCAAGTGGAGGCCATTTACAAAACTAGGCTCTACCAACGGAAATTAAAAACTGATTAGAGCATCGAAATTAGCCTTGGAAAGCAAAATTGGGTTACTGGCCATGCAACGTCGCTCGTGGCGGCCAAGCCTCATCCCGCCGCCGTTGCTGCTCAACTGCATGATCGGGGGTGAGGATCTCTTCCTGTGCTTAAGAGCTATCAACTTGTGGTGATAGTTGGCATCAAGGTGGACGCGCGATGACAAGTTCGCAGTCGAGACAACTCGAAGCCGTCGAGCTCCGCCTATTAGAATAGAGGCCAAACATGGTCGAGTTGGGGTGGGTTGTGTTTGTGGTGATGAGAGGAGTCTAGTGGTGGTAGTGAAGATTTTGGTCATCGGAGTTCGCCAGAAACTGGCCTAGTAAACTTGCCCAAAAGGCAGGTCAAGTTTGCTGCAATAGGGTGATCCCAGTCGACTCACGAGTCAATTCGCCAAAAATAGGAAGGTTCCCCAAAAAATATGGGGACTTCTATAATTCCATTTATAGAGGTCTCAATGACCATTTTTGCCCCTAGCTTTAGTCGTTTGTAAATTTATCGTTACAACTCCGTTTCACGAATGGTTTTCGCATATGTATTTGTACGATCGAGCTCTATCAAAAAATACTAAGAATGACCCCGAGAGATCTACAAATTTTTATCGACTATTCATGAAAATTCAAACTTTGTAACTAAGTAATTGAAACTCTATAATTATTGAAAAAATAATAATAACTTTCCGAAATACGAAATACAAAAAAAATTGAGTAGAATTGGCTTCAACAATTATTTTCTTGTTATAGGAGAATGATTTATGGTTCACCAAAATGTAGTGTCCTCATTCAATAAGACGTTTCCTTTTATATGTATTATTGTATCACGAGACCACAATAATAGGGAACTCGTTCCACATTTGCTAAATAATCATATGACAAGTAACGTTTTGCTGACCAGCATGCGAGCATAGATATGTTGTGGGAAGCATGCAAATACAGGATAAGAGTAATTCACCATACCTCATCTCGTGGACAGGAGCAAATACAGGATAAGAGTAGTTCACCATACCTCATCTCATGCATAGGTGTTAAACTTTCTTCATTGTTCACAATCATAAGCTCAAGTCAACTTTCCTTGTTCTACAAGCTACCAAAAATATCGTCATTGTCAAACAAATCATGCGCGATATTCTAAAAAGAAAAAGAAATGTAATTACCATTATCTCCAAAATCTCTTTCTAACATAGCATCTGGGCAATTTAAGAAGTAATTATCTTAACAAGTTTCTCTTTCAAGGGCGAAGTAATTATGTTAACAAGTATTTGTTTGATGGGCTTCTCATCTTAACTTAAGAGTATATATCAGTTTTTAAGTTTGATGTATTGTGCGATTCACTCTCCTAATATTACTCGTAAAGAGAAAATAAAAGATAAAAGTACTTTAGCCAACAATGATTGATTGAGTTGGTAACGATTGTTCTCTTAGATAGAATAAAGTATGGCTTCGAGTTCCGCTGTTTGCCATCTCTCTTGTGGTATGTTCTTCTACGAGGCTCGTTTGGTGCCTATTACTTGGATTCAATAACTTATAATTTAAGATCTATTTGAATGTAGAAGTAAATGAATATATTTTTTTTTTTTGAAGGGATTAAAATGGATTAGACACAAAATAAACTTATTCTTCTAAAATTATGAGCGTGCCATTTGTGAGGATTGGAAGGAAAAGTTTTCTCATGTCACCAACTCACAACGTGTCAATGGTTCATTGGACGGGTAATATAATTTTTTCAAACACGTGGTAAGTATTTATTGGAGATAACGTCACTGAAACTAAAATTTGGTTGCATGAGAGGTATAAGTTTCTTTCATGTGTAATTCGACATACTTTACCAATACAGTGAGTTATCCAATAGATACAAAATGACTCGTCTTTGAATATCTAGAAGTTGTAAGTTGGGATCTAATCTATGCCAAAAACGGTAGAAGTTGGTAACCCAATAACCGACCTTCATAATATTCCATAGCCAGCTAAGCCATACAACAATTGAATCAAATTATTAAATCTAAAGCTTCATAACTAAATGAAGAACCCTTTGTGACATAGTATAAGTAGGAAAAGTTAGGTTACCAATTAAGCCAACATTTTTGTCCTCTTTCTTCATCTCCCCCACCCCACCCCACATCCCCCCCCCCCCCCCCCGCTCTCTTACAAAAAGCCCCATACTTCTCCCCTTAACTTCACCAAACAAATCAAAACACTCAAATCCCAGTTCAGATATACCACAGCTTCCCAATCACTTCCCACACAAACCCAAAAAAACTTATATTCCAATGGCACAAAAGTTTGAGATGTCTCTAGTCCTTGTCCTAGTGACCATGTTCTTGGCAAGGGCAGCAGCCCAGTCTAGTTGCACAAACGTGATCATCAGCATGTCACCCTGCCTCAGTTACATTACTGGCAACTCCTCCACCCCTTCTTCCGGGTGCTGCTCGCAGCTCGCCAGCGTTGTCTCTTCCTCCCCACAGTGTTTGTGTGAGGTCCTTAATGGCGGTGGATCGTCGCTAGGGATCAATGTGAACCGGACTCAGGCTCTGGCATTGCCTGGTGCTTGCAATGTCCAGACTCCACCACTCAGCCAGTGCAATGGTAAGCCTGCATATGCTCAATGTCTTATGTCGGTGTTTAGAGTGAATCCCACGTCAGAGAACTGAAGCTTTCCCTAATAGCATAAATGATCTTGGGCCTCTCACCCTATTAATTTCTGTTGGATGCTCACATTCTAATGATTGGTTTTAATCTTCTTCTAATAACTTGAATACCGCTATATTTGCGCAGCTGCTTCTCCGGCTGGCTCTCCAACAGGAGCAGCAGACTCTCCTAATGAAGGTCCTTCAGGTACAAAAAACAGTTCATATGATTCTTTTAGTTGTGAATGAATCTGTTGAAATTTTAATCCTCTGCTCCATCTGTAAGGTTGACGCTAAATTTTTATATTGGTATTGATATCGTGCAGGAACCGGTTCAAAAACTGTACCATCGACTCAAGGCAGCTCGTCAGACGGAAACTCCATCAAGATGTCCACTCCGACTCAACTCTTTCTTCTCCTGGCTACAGCATATGCTACCTTCACAATGTGCTGATTTTCTTTCTGTTGGCCAAACTTTTCGAGTTATCCACATAATTTGTTTCTGTTGGCCAAACTTTTTGAGTTATAATACTGTTTGTGATTGTTAACGTATTGGATTATTATTTTGAATTCAGTTGTTAGATCCATATACATTCATTGTAACCTCAGAGAGGTTGATATGGTATCTGTACTGGTGGATCTTCCCTTCTTTGATAATAAATGTTTTCTGGCTTCTGAGTGAAAAACAAAACCTGTAACACTATCGACGATCTTCTGCCACAATCAACTGAATTAGAATTACGATCATAAACATCAATCACAATATACAAATAGGCTTTTCGATCTCCGTCCTCGCGGATACACACATCACTTCCACTACGAGCGTTTGCTGTATAACGCAGTTTGTCCCCCTAGATGGCTGGAGATGTTGGACCTGTATACCTTCCGACTTGTTTGCAAATATGTGAAGATACCGCATTCGATGAATGTCACGCAGAGTCTTGCAGAACCTCAGGAAAAGATGGTTCAATGGCGTGGACCACTGTTTCTCAATCAGTTTTAGATGGACTGGGAAACCCTCTGCATATCTGCAATGGTCGGGCAAAGGTTTGCTTAACATTGCAAATATGTTAAACGACAAGTCCATCTTCATGTATCCATCCTCAGCCATTCTCCTTGCCAACCCTGGATATTCAGCCAAGCATCTCCATGTACTCTTAGATTGATATAGTCTCATCACTCCTCAGAAAAAAATGCAACGTTACGTATCCTAAAAAATCCTCAAAATTTTGATAGCAAAACTTAAAAGTTGAAGGAGCACAAAAGCGCAACCTGCACCAACAGGACTGCTATAATCTCTTTCTTCCGCAACTTGATGCACATCAAGAGTGTGCTCTTGACCGCACAAATTCTTCTAATCTGTCCCACACCTCCAATGCAGCAGCTCTATCTTGATGTCGTTTATTCTTGCTAATCTGCACATTTAGAACACAGTTCAATATTGACCGACAACAGAACCAAAAACAAGAATGAAGGTGGAACACCGATTCTAATGACAAAAGCAAGACCCTAACTAGCATAACTATCTAAAAACAAAGAAGCAAGGAAGCTCAAGATGGCAAAAATAGCTCACCGAGATGATCTTCACATTCCACTGCTTCACAATCTTTGCCGACTCCACGCTATCATCTTCGAACCGCATGAAAAACCCCATAACTGCATCACAACACAACATACACAAGCAACACATGAAATCAGCTACAATGCACTTTCAAAAGTCACATAAAACAAATTCAGAAAGCTAAAATCTCAATGACCCAGATAACAATTTCTCAATGCAATTAAAACCTGAGAACTGAAAGTTTTGACTTACTCTTATTGAAAATCTCAACATGGTCCTTGAAGGGCCAATCCTTGAACTGCCACTCCTTCCCCAACACGAAAACCGCCACAACCCGGTCCCAATCCTCCGCCTTCAACGCCGAGGGCTTATCCCTAACCTCATAAGCTGTCACCACCCGATCCCTATCCCTGCTAAACTTCTTCTGCACAGTCACGCAGTCCGGCTTCGCCCCTTTCATCTGCTTCACCTTCACATCAGTGGGTATATAAACCCCATCTTCCAAAAACTCCTTCACATTGTAAATCGTGATCAGCGTCTGAAAAGCACTGGGCACCAAAATTATGGGCACACCTTCCCCAATTTTACCCCCCTTGAGGTGCAATTTAGGCTTCGGGTTCGGGTCGTAACCCGATTCGTCTCCGAACCCGGTCATGCCCCTCTCGTCGGAACCCATTAGCCTACTCTTCGCCACCAGCCCATCCTTCCTCTGCTGGGACTCAATACGCTGTCGTTCCTCTTCTCGCTTCGTCGCCGAGGTCAAAACAGCGTAAAAGTTCCTACCTTTACACTCCAGCAATCCCTCCCGGTCCTTCAACGGGCGCTCGCTGGAGCAAATCAACGACATGTAGTCCACCGGCGTCTCGATTTGAGTAAAAACCCGAGAATCCGAAGCGTCGTAATGGCCGTTGTCGCTGCTGATGAGGTTGGCGTTGCTGGCGGCATCGAGGGTGGTAGAGATTTTGGTGAGGTGGACGGCGTCGTTTTGGGGAGGGAGGAGGAACTCTATGGAGTCGGAGGAGGAGATCTTTCCGGTGAGGTAGTCGAGGAGGGGCTTGCGGTCGGGGAAAGTGACGGAGGGGATTCCCTGGGTGCGGGCGCACTGGATGTAGTCGGTGTGCTTGATATGGTGGTTGTTGACGTAATAAAGGAGGGTTTCGAGGGTGTAGAGGTTGCCTTGCTTGGAGCGGTAGGCGGTCTCTGCGTGGCAGGGGAAGCTGTAGTCGGAGCCGAACCGGAACTCGTCGTTGACCCGGACGATCTTGTCGAGGTCACCGCGGACTGTGAAGTCGCGGAGGGCCGAGAGCGGGTCCATAGAGGATGATGCAGTTTGTTTGCTGCTGCTGTAGTGGAAAGGAAACTGATATGAGTGATCACTGAAACACTCTCTGACGATTGAGGAGAGTAAACGATAAGTTATCTGGTTTGGGATTTTGAGGTTTTGGGCCTCCCTTCGCGTATATGGGGCTTCCGTGTAGAGTGAGATTTTATGTATTGGGCCTTGGATTATATCCTACAGTGGAATGGATTGGGAAATATGGCCATAAATAAACAATTCATTTCCCTTTTGCTTTTTCTTTTTTGATCCGTATACTTTATCAGAGTTTTAATAATGATTTTCTATTTTATTTTATTTTTTATAAAAGAAGTTCCCTCAAATATTAATAATATTGGAATTTTTAAACTTTTTATTATGCACTATGTTGCAATGTATCACGTACCGTTAAATTTTTCATTAATTGATGATGTGGACAACATAAAATCTACATCAAATTAATTTATTTTTTTACATTGAATAACAAAATAAACAAATAAGAACCCTAATAATAATAGCAGCTCTTGCACTTACCCCTTCCCCCTCTGGTCTCCTCCCACCAGCTTCCCACCCCACCACCCCACAGTCTTCAACTAAGCCACATCATCCCCCTAAAACACATACACACACATACACATCTCTCTCTCTCTCTATCTCTCTCCTTGGATTCAAATTTGTAGGTTATAGATTGGAGATCTAGAAATTGTGGATCAACTGAGACTCGGTCAAGTTTGTAGGTGGTTTCTCCACAAATTGTTAGTTTCATATGGATGAAGTAGGAAAATGGAGTCGTAGGGAGAAGGTTGGTTGACGTACTGGTTACTGATTGATGAAGGAAAGATATCAAGAATTTTGGGTAAATTACATAAAACTACCTCAATTATTGGATCATTAACAGCTTCATAACTCGTCTTTAAAATGTTTCAATGTCATACCTTATCTTCGAATTTTGTTGCAATGATATACCTTCTGTCAGTTATCTGTCAATTCCTCCGTTAAATGCTGACATGGCTTGTGACGTGGCACACTTTATATTAAAAAAACTAATAAAATATTATTAAAAACTAAAATACAATTATTTAAATATTTTTATAAAAAGAAGGTGGGACCCACCCACCTTCTTCCCTCCCACCCGTCTCCCCCTTCACTCCAAACCCCCCCCCCACACGCCCTTCTCTCTCGGTTTCTCCCCCCTTCTTCATATCTCATTCCTGTTCATCTTCCCCCCCCTACCCACCCACCCCATTCTCCCCCCACCCCTTGCAACCTAAAAATGAAGAAGAAGAAGAAGGAAAAAAAAACCCCAAGTTCATCTCCCCCCCTGCAACCCAGAAAGGAAGAAGAATGAGAAGAAGAAAAAGATGAAGAAAAAAAACCCCTAAGTTCGCCCCCTGGAACCCAGAAAGGAAGAAGAAGAAGAAGAAGAAGAAGAATAAGAGGAAAAAAACAAAAAACCCATCTTCATCTTCCCCAACCCCCCTTCCCTACAACCCATCCCTTTCTTCCCCATCTCGTATTCTCCTTCCCTCCTCCTCTGCACCCACTACCTGCAACCCAAAAAAAAAAAAATCCCATTTTCATCTTCCCCGAACCCCGACCTCCCTTTCCCTGCAACCCAGATCCTGTTTTCCACCGATTCCCCGGGTGGAGAAATTGGGCACGTAGAAAATGGGGGGAATGGGTGTGGATTTAGGTATCGATTGATATGCAGACGGGATTGGACAGGATGGAACGGAGAGGGAGCAAAGATACCCTCAGATGGAAACAAGGAGGAAGAAGAAGGAGACGGAGAGATTATAATTTTGTGTTCCACAGATATGGAACGAGTCGTTCCAGGGGGTGAGGCAGAACGAAAATTCGTCCTGTGAAACAGCACATTCCACCCGTTTTAGGCATACCAAACTTGGGATGGAACGTCTCATCCCACTCCGCTCCGTCACGTCCCGCGTACCAAACGGTACCTTAAGGAATGGGGTGTGTAAAGGAAGGAAAAGGGTGGGTGCGGAGGAGGAGGGAAGGGGAAGACGGGAGAGGGAAGAAAGGGGTAGGTTGCAGGGAAGAGGGGTCGGGGAAGATGAAGTTGGTTTTTTTTTTTCTTCTTCTTATTTCTTTCTGTGTTGCAGGGGTGGGGGAAGACGAACTTGGTTGTTGTTGTTTTTTTTTTTAATAAATAAATAACTTTTCTTTAATTAATTATTATTTTAATATTTAAAAAATATTAAATGATTTTTGTTTAGTTTTTAATAATATTTTATTAGTTTTTTAATATAAAGTGTGCCACATCAGCATTTAACAGAAGAATTGACAGACAACTGACGGAAGGTATGACATTGCAACAAAATTCGAAGATAATGTATGACATTGAAACTTTTTAAAGACGATGTATAAAACTATTAATGACCCAATAGTTAAGGTAGTTTTATGTAATTTACCCTTTTTTATTTTTATTTTTTATGTTACTTAATATTTTAATTAATAAATATTTATTTACCAGTTGAAATCTACCTTAGCAAAAAAATTTAGCCCTTTAGGGTGCATTTGTTGCACCAAACTATCTCGGACTGGACAAGTTTCAATGATTAAGCTGGACTGGCTTAGACCAGACTAAGCTGGACTGATTTAGTGAAGTGTTTGGTGCAGTGTCGGATTAAGAAGCAAAATAATTAATATATTTTAATATTATATTTGTTTAATTCATAAAAATTATATTATATTATTAATTTATTTTTTTCTTTTTGGAAATCTCTCCCTATCTCGAAACTTCCACCATTTTTTTCTTCTTCCTTCCCACTTTCTCACTCCTCTCTCCCTCATTTTCTTCCCTTTTTTTTTCTCCAGCCCATCGTTTTCTTCTTTCTTCCCACTCTCTCACTCCCCTCTCCTTCATTTTCTTCCTTTTTTTCTCTGGCCGACCATCTCCCTCCTCTCCCTCGTTTTCTCCCAGTTTTCTTCCTCAAAAGAGGATCTGTGCATTTTGCTCCTGATTTGGACCGAAAGACCTGCATGTCTTTCTTCTTGTTCCTCAAAGCAGAGAGAGCACTGCAAATTCAAAATCACATATCAAATTTTTACTATAATTTATGTTTTAAAACTCCAAATTTGATTTTGTTTTTTCCTACAAATTTCTAGAGAATATCACTGCAACCCAAGGTAATATATTTCTGGGTTTATCACATATTTTGATTTTTTTCTGTAATTGGGATTTTGATATTTTCTGTAATTGGAAATCGCATATCACAGATTTCTAGGTTTATCACAGATTTTGATATTTTCTAGGTTTATCGCAGATTTTGATTTCGTTTTTCCTACAAATTTTTGGATAATAACAGCCTTTAATTGGGGTTGGATTCGTGGGACAAAGACGGAACCGAAATCTCGTACCCGATTTTTTATGCTCCTCTCGTCAGCAAAGTCATGGTGACTCCATTGTTCTCTCTTTTTATCTCTCTAATAGACGTTTCTAACTTTTCGGGGAGAGGAAATACGGTGAAGCTCAATTGGGATTTCTAGGAAGGGAAGGACGGTGAAGCAGGGAGGGGTGAAGCGAAGCACAGATGGGGCGAAACAAGGACTAGCAGTCCACTCCTTTTTGGGGGGTCTCGCTAAGACCCCTTAGCAAGCGTTTTTGTCGGAGATGGTGAGACTTAGTCTCTAGTCCCTGTCGGGAACAAACATGGGACTGGACTAACCTTTAGTCCAGTCCAGTCCGATCCGGTCCAATACTCTTTAGTGAGGGCAAACAAACGCCCCCTTATTGTACATTTTAATTAACAAAATTGTTAATTGTAGGTGATACATTGCAACATGATACAAAGTTTAGATAGTAAAAAAGTTAAAAGTTGAAATAGTAAATGTACACACCAACAAAAATTATGCTGATATTTATACAAATTCTTCTTCTTTCAAATATAAAAATGATCAATTCCATTTTGCACCTGTAGTTTGATGTTAGTAACAGTTTGGTTTCTACCATTGAAGAGTCAGCAATAAATAACTCATGATCATTTACACCATTAGCTTCTGCCTCAGTTTAATATTAAAATTTTGTTCAAGGTATAAAATATCGATGATATCGGAAATATCGGTAGTCCAAAAACACGGAAATATCGATGGAAATATCAGGATATTATCGATATCGATAAAAATTGAATAAAAACCACGAAAATTGTAAGAAAAACTTGGAAATTTTTATTGAAACTTTGCAGGATGTTTATTTAGTCAATTATCTATTAGTTTATCACAAAAAATGGAAGGAAATGCGTTGCATGATGGATTTAACTTATTTAAGTTGATTATATAGCGAGCTGGCAAACATTGTGAGTGTAAAAAATATGTAGTAATTAATGAAAGAAGTTTAAACACACCATAATCATTTATATATAATGAATTAGTACAATATTTTACACTTTATACATTGCATGGTAAGATACATGAGTGACTTAGTACCACATAGAGTTCCTATGAGGTTCAAATTTTTCACTATCTTCATCATCTCTATGTGTAGAGTAAGTGTATTGTGAAGAGTAGTTATCAAATGATAAATCCCCAAAATAGTTTTGCATGTAATTGTTAACATGCCACCCATATGGATCTGAGATTGGTTGACGTTGTCCATAAGCAAAATCATTTGAAGATTGAGTCTCGGATTCTTTCCATGAGTCACTCGATTCCATCCCAACAGGAATGGGATATGAAGGGTAGGGAAATGGTTGGTTATGAGTATAACCATAGTTACTACTTCCCACTCCAACAGAGTTCGAAGTTATAGATAATGAGTCATCTTCTTGACTTGACAAAATCCCCTTGCCTCTTTCTCTACGAGTATAGTCCTTCCTTATGGCACCAATTCCTGGTCCTACCCGCCTACTGCCATGGTCCTCGTCCTTTGTTGCATGCGTGAAGTTTGCCTCACCAGTGAAGGGGCTCATAAATCCGAGAGGTGGTCCAACATAGTTTCCATATCCATCACTACCTCCAACTTCACTATATCCTTCACCACTACCTCCAGCTCCACCTCCGGTGGTAGGTAAGTCTCATGATCTTGTAGTAGAGCTATCATTAGTATCAGCATGATCT